GGTGGGAGCAGGGAGAGGATTTCAACTTCCGAAAGGAGGAACAAAAGGTGACCTCAAATTGTTCGCCTCTAACTGCTTCAATTTAATGGAAGACCACTCAAAAAATCATCAGAAAATCAAAATGGAGCTCGGTAGAGTTATTTGTGCGATCCTCCCTGTCGATCTATTGTGATAAAGATATTGGATGACCGTCTGGATCCACGGAAGGTTTTGCAAGGCTCTAAATGGGCCTTTCGTACATACTATGGCGTCCGTCAACTGATTACGTGTCTGTGCGTTACAAGACCAGGTTATTAAGGCGAGCAATGATGTTTATTTATTATATTTATCAATTATTTTGGTATTTATTCTGTATATATCTACTGATGTCGTATTAACTATATACTGCATGTATATATATTTTATTTCTAAGCCCAATCAGACGAAGGCATAACTTATACCCCATAATAATAACAGTATTTCAGACCATACATCCATATAGGCCGCCCTATGTAAGTTATATTTAACTAATATTCTATTTTATTGCATTTCTTGTCACGGTGTGTGTAATAATTTATATTCGTAATAATTAACTCTTATTTGACTCTCCTTTATCAGAATCATATAACATCGTTATCGTTTCCTGATATGTGAATTTTTTAGATAAATTGACAAAAACTTTTGGTGTTAACCGTGTAATACAAACTAAGCTAAGCGACTGGTGATGTCATAGCGCGTAAGTCTCGGCATCTGTCTATTTTGTACATTTATAGACAAAAAATCGACATTTTAAATTTAATTCAATTACTAATTTTGCTCAAAGCCATTTTTACAGTTTACGTTGACAACGAAATAACCTGAAAAGGACATTAAAAGTTTCAGAAACATTCCTTGTAAACATGTATAAATTCAAAATAAATACCGTTTCCTTTTGGAAACTACGTTTGTTCGAAACTACGCTTCCATCATAACTCTGTGTTATTCCCATAATGGGTTCTCCGTCTACACAGCGGCGTTTAGCCTAAACCGCATCGGAGTATGAAAGATGCACTTTAGCGAACCGAAGCGTGACGCTTTGCTCTTGAGATCAGGTTTAAAACGCGGCCTTTGCTCCGAGAGCGCGCCTTCTTGAGTTGCGGGCTCATATTTGTTTACGTGCATCTGGATGAAACCAATGTACATAGCGCTGAGTATCTGAATCAATAAGAGTTATGAAACGTGATTTCTGTCTTTTTTTTATTTTATTTTTTTTTATGCGAAAAGTTGTCAAACGAGCAGACGGTTCACCTGATGTTAAGTGAATACCGCCGCCCATGGACATCTGCCACATTCGAGGGTTACAGATGCGTTGACAACCTTTTGAAAATTGGGCTCCGGCTACCTCACTCACCAGACGAAACGCGAAAGTATTTGTCATACTTCCACTTTACGCTGGTCTTCTGTGAGGTCGTGGTACTTACCTGGACGGGCCTGCCCATTCGTGCAACAGCCGAGGCTGCTGCGTGGCCCTACCACCGTAGCTGCGTGGTGCTACCACATTGACCTTACATTATATTAGGATAACACTATCCTGTGTTGTAAGGACGTGTTACAGATATAAATTTCACGGGGTCAAACACCCAGATGCGAAACAACTGTATCTGGGTCGCAAAAATAGTTGTCCCGTGTGGGGATCGAACCCGCGACCCCCGACACTGAACCGATACATTAGCAACTGCGCCACGGAGTCATATTATTTTTGGAATTTATATGTTGTCAGGTTTTGATATAAATTTGTTTGTGTTATGTATACAATCAGGAGCACAGCTGGACTTTATTTATGAAATCGTTAGCACACCTGCCAATGATCGCTTGGGTTCTGAATGATTCAACAAATGGAGGAACAAAGTCATCTATAGGAGTTATGTTTGGTTTTCCAATTAACGTGTAATTTATATGACGTCTTCGTTGAATGCCTATATATTTTTACTATCTGTAACTGAATTTCAGGGCATTATTTACTCGCAGAACGATACCCATCAAACGATACTGAAAGTAAAATTTGGAGGAGGATTTTTTTTTGGAAATACGAGCAAGCGGCATGCCCGATGGTAAGCAATTATCGGCGTGCGTGGACACTTGAGGTAGGAATAGGCGCTTGGTTAAGAAGAGCTTGAAGGTCCCTAAGTCGTATTGGTTCAGAAATACCGCGTTTATACAGGACTTAGTAAAATAATCAACTGACGGTGAATTATGCAACAGCAGGTGGAGCCACGCAACAGTCCTTGCGTGGTGGAATGAGTGGGTACTTCCGGGAAAGTACCACGATCTCATAGAAAACTAGTGTGAAATGGAAGTGTTATACTTCTGCGTTTCGTCTGGTGAGTGAGGTAGCCAGGGGCCACTTTATTAAAAGGTTTCTGCTTCCAATAAATGCGAATGAAAATACTTATAGAATTATGTATAAATTTTGTTTAACTTTTACCTGGGTGGTAAGGGCCAGAAATCTAATGTGACTAACTCGAGCACGAAACCGTCCAAATATTCACACATTCACACTTTACATAATTCTTCGTATCAAGCGATAACAGTTATATCAGATAGAATTGTGCACGGAGCGTCATCTATACTAATATAAAAAAGAGATAACATCTATTTGTATGTTTGGTGTTTGTAATGGTTAATCTCTAAAACTACTCAAGAGATTCCAAAGTTTATGGTTAATGCTAAGCAAGTTTTATTAAAAGAATCAATATTTTCGGATCGAGAGAGAAAAATAGGCTGACACATTTCATAGTTTACTTGCTTCTTCTTTGGTCACAATTTATAGAATTACAATTGTAATTAGAGTAGTTAATTACACTAGATTGCCCGTGCGAAGCTTCGGTCGGTATGTTCGGTCGGTTCGAGTGGAGCAATATTTCCACGTCAGTTCCCGCGTCACCCGTTTGCGCTGATGGAGCATGAATTTGCAGCGCTCGGCATTGGCACCGATGCCGGTTCTGTATCTATCGTCTTAAATCGTTACGAACGAACAATGTCGTATATTATTTTGCAACTGACAGACTAGTATAAATTATGAAGTATACCTAAGCATAAGTTATCAATGTAACTAAATCCAAGCACACTGCCACGTCGGATACAGGGCGTTAGCCTAGTCCTTTATGACAGGAGGATGTTAAATGTGTCATTCTCACACGCAAGTTGAAAATAAAATAAAATAAACACCATTCTATCTTCTTCACAGTCCTTTTTAACTGTTAAATAGGGAAAAAGTATATTCTTGGGTTTAAAGAAAAAGTTAAGTAAAATTATCAGCCTATTTATAGCAAAGGCCTCCTGTGTAGAGGGTGTTAAAATCCGCACTTAAAATTGCAATTAAATATTTCATTGGTCCCGGCACGGCACTTAGAAAAAGGGGTAGACTCTAGGTTAAGAAGAGTTTGAAGGTTCCTAAATCGGATTGGTCCAGAAATACCCCTATAATACACGACTCAATAAAATAACGAGCTGTTGGTGAATAACTGTGCTGGCTACACAGCAATCTTCAAGAGAGTGGTCTTATAGGGGTCCTTTTTTACCTTTTAAGGTACGGAGCCCTAAAAAACAACAATTTTAAAAGAGAGCCACTTAAATTGATGGCTCCGTGGCGCAGTTGTCAAGGTGTTGGCTTCGGCGTCGGGGGTCGTGGGTTCGATCCCCGCACGGGAAAACTATTTGTGTGACTCACAATACAGTTGTTTCGTATCTGGGTGTTTGTCCGCGTGAAATTTATGTTTGTAAAACGTCCTTACAACACAGGATAATGTTATCCTAAAGTAAGGGAAACGTTTTAAAAAAAAAAAATTCGTACCATCCGTGCAATCAAAACAGTATTCGGAGTTGATTAAAAGTATTTTCTAAATAATTTCTTGTTTATGTATATTAAAAGCGAAATGAGTGTGTATTTATTTTTTCACGTTGCGCATCGAGTATGAATAAAATTGACTTTTTTATTTCGTAAATAACTAATATAGCAATGTCGGAGTTAAAATAAGTTCGGAGGTCTACTATTTAGTAAATAAATAATATAGAATTCTCTATTTTAACTTGTTAAATCAATGTTGTCTGCAATATTACAACAGATTAGTACGCGGAGGTATCGTGACAGGCTATATTTAATAACGTTAGGGATGAGAAAAAATTTTTTCAGCATTCCACAGTGTCTTAGCGTCGATGATGTAAACTACGAGTATACCAGACCTTGATGCGTTCGCATATCCTTGGCATTATTATTCAACGATAACATCGTACGCTCAATATAAAGAGGGGTCTATTCATTTTCTTTTTTGTTCATATACTTATGTTTCCTAACACTACTTTACTATAGTTTAGGAAGTACAGTAATTGTTAAGATAAATGGTCCTTAGCTTGGACACGATATATTTTAGTATTACACGTATTATAACGTAATTGAAAATTACATTTACATGTTTTGTGATATGATGTGTATGTGTTCAGTAAATGTGAGGAGGTGGCAAGTAAGAAGGCATCATCTTTGCGGTTGCAGTGGCAACCTTTATAGAATGGGCCGTGGTCACTTTACTCACCGGTCGAAACGCAAAAGTACAAAACTTCCACTTCACGTCGGTCTTTTCCTTCATTCTTCTGCAAGAGCAGAGGCTGCGTGGACCTATCGAAGTAAGACCTAGTACATTTACAAAGGAAACGTTGACGAACTCAAGAGGGATCGAATACCCGTTGTGGATGTTAGTTTAGGGCTGAGCGATGCTAAATTTATTCTGGACGCTTGTGAAATATGACCGTTCGCTTTTAGCCATTCAGATTTTGGGCCGGCCACTTATTTTAATCTGGACTGGAGCATAGAGAGAAATAATCTTGTCCTACCCTATTTCGTAAACTGTCAAAGTTCAATGTGTGTTATATTTATAAAACAATTAAATCCTTGTTACAGTTGCGTGAAGTGTAAGCGGGAGACTTAATTGAGATGCATTCGGCGGAAGTAACTTAGCAACTTTGGTATCCGCGTGGATGCGGCTACGATGAACATCACATATCTGGACCTGATCTTGGAGGACTTGAAATGTCACCTCGCTGCGGGGATCGGTTGCGGGAATGAGACCAACACGGGCCTCCAATGCGGCAAAGGGCACGTCGCCGATTACTTCTGCGAGCTGAACATAGACGTGCAAAATGAGACGACTTACAGCTGCTTCAGATGCTCCAACAATAGCCTGGATCATAACATCAACTACACTGTATGCAACACTAGATTCAAACTCAATATGTTCTCTGCAATCTTCGAGAGCGCTGTAAAAAGCCTATGGTTGAAACTGCCCGCGTTCGACGTGTGCGAATGGGATACGTTATTTTGCTTTAACGACAGCCCCGACAGGACGTTGTACACCGACGCGAACTATAGTGATTTCAATAGGAGTGATATTGAGACTTTTCAATGTACGTGGAACATAAAGAACATCACAGACAACGTGACCGTTGCTGCGGGCTACGAGTGGAGTTTTTTGTTTGTGATATTGTTCATAATTGCGGGCGGCGTGGGTAATATTCTAGTATGTTTAGCAGTGTGCTTGGATAAGAGACTACAGAATGTCACAAACTATTTTCTACTGTCGTTGGCGATAGCGGACTTGCTCGTTAGTTTATTTGTAATGCCCATGGGCGCAATTCCCGGCTTTCTAGGTAAGTATAACATTTTGTAGCATGTCATGTAACATGTTTATAGTATGTCATGTAACACTGACTAAATTTTGAGGAACATTTTAAAACAAAGCCTTTTAAAAAGTTCAGCGCAGGCCAAGAAAGAAAATCATTTTTATACTCAAATTCTAGAAAGAAGGCAATTTGTTATAAAATATGTTTTCTTTTTTCTTTTTTGGTAGTAGTTAATTACTTACTGCACATTTTGTAATGACAATGTTTTAGTGTACGTAACTACAATTTACGTAATAACTTCTAATATATAAATGTATCGTTTTTATCACAGTCTGGATCAGCTAACTTAAACTGTTCCTAAAATCTCAAAAGTACAACTATCATCCAATGTATTATGTTCCATTAAATAATATAAGAGCTAGTATTAATAAACATTAATTTCATTTATTTTACAACACACAACAACAAATCACAAACACAATGATAGAGCGGAATTTGACTGAACTGGGAAGTTAAATTATACATATTTTATATGTAACAAAGTTCATTTGCGATGAATAACAGATATTTTGTATTCAAGTAAATGGAATTGGGTTAGGAAATTGTATGTAGTAATAGACAGATTACAGTTGCGCATTCAAAGTTGTTTTTGTTCCCCGGTAAACGTAAGAGAGGATGTTTTTTAACATTCATTTAATTGAATTCGCAGCATTTTCCTTGAGGGGCCGTATATTTTTGGGGACAATTCGGTTGCCGCCAATCTGATGTTGATTTAATTTTTTGATGCAAAACACAAGCCGTGCGTACGAAGTAAGAGGAAACAGTGTATTAAAAAAGTATTTATGTCTGAAATCGCTTGGAGAAACATAAAAAGGATACCGGGAGCAACATAAAATTTACAGTGGTATCTAATATATTATCACGTGACACGTGGCGCTGTGCTGAAGAATATTTCTAGGTTCCTAGTTTACTTCGAAACTAACCGCTAGTTTATAATATGTCAGATAATTTTGAGTGTAAAATCTTTGAATAGATATTTTTTCCGTTCGGGCTCAAATACGTTTGAATAATATGAGAAATAAATAAGAGAGATAAGAGAAGATCACTTATTTAGCAAAGGATTAAGTAATTTATTCATGACACTTATAGTTTTTTCGCGAACACATTTCATAATTAAGAAGTGTAGGGTTTTATTGTGTAAGAAAGAGTTAATAGTTATAATTATCAGGTTGTTATTATGCTAAATAAACGATAATATATTGAAGATATTATTAAAGATTGTTAGCGACATAATTTTACAAAAACTGTTTACGTAGTGTAATGTATGGTAAATATTGTAATATCCTGGAAAATTAGTCTACACCAGTTCTACCTATACTAGCTATCAATTTAGATATTAAGTACTTGGGTTAGAGAGATATTTAATTTCTTTTGGTGTTAAGTGATTACCTCCACCAATAGGAATCTGTAAGCCCGGTAAGCGATAAGATGTGCTTGCAATCGTCAGTTACCGGACGGTACTAAGTTTTCCCTGATATTCACTGAGACTGTTTCAAAATACTTCTCTAGTCAAAGCGAATGATTTCCTCAACAGACTAAGCTACAAGTGACATCATCATCATCATTATTTCAGCCTGTTTGAGTCAACTGTTGAACAAAGACCTAACCCACAGACTGACAAGTGTAAACGTAGGCTAGAAAAAAATATTTAAGAAAAAAAATTACTATGCGCGTGCACACCGATATCCAAAAAGCGACAGGATGAAGCTAGTTGCAAAGCGACCAATTTCACGGCATTACCATGGCAAACAAAAACAGCAATTTGACATTTACCTATAATAATTTCGAGTTATGTAAATAAACCGTTATCAATTGCATTTAATTTCTTTTCACAAACAAAGAGTATTGGCGCAGAGGATAAAATTTTTAGCTATTTTTATTTTGTTTACGAGTATCTTTCCTTAATACTTAACAAGTATTAGTTTACTTACTTGTTAAGTATTAGGGGAAGACACGGTAGTATTTCACAGTTAACGAACTAAGAACCCTCACCGGCAACAGGATCTCAAATTATTATATGTTTTGTACTTTTTTTGCAACCAATAAACCTATTATTATTAATATAATAATTATTAATGCAACCCCAAGTTTGTCTTTCTTTCTTGACTATATTGCTTGGTTTCTTTTAGTCCTTGTGTCCGTTTTCTCATCGTTCTGTGTGATCAGTTTAAAGTTTGTTATATTTATCATTGAAATGTCCATAGGTTACTGGCCACTAGGTGTTGTTTGGTGTAACGTGTACGTGACATGTGATGTGTTGGCTTGCTCGGCCAGCATCATGCACATGTGTTTTATAAGCATCGGCAGGTACGTGATCCGATTAAGTCGGTTTAACTGATTTTAATAGAACCGGTTTTTTTTGCAGACGCTGTGCGTTATTTTTAAAGAGAATTAAAAGCTGCCTTTTATTTTAAAACCGTTTAAAAAGAATAAGCAAATATTGAGGAGGTATCGAAAGTCTCTATTTGAACATTGTTTTGAATTATTTAAAAAAAAGCAATGTGAAATGAACTGTAAAATGTATCTTTGTTAAATATTTGTTATTACTTTTTATTGTTACGTTTACTTGTTTTTCTTATCGACTATCAAAAATAGTTTAATGTCATATTTAAAATTTACATTCACTATTGGATTAGAACCTCCGTCTTCCAAGTAACGCATCCAGACAGACGCTTTAACCAAATAGGTAAAGCGGAATAGGTAAAGTGGAAGGTCTTCTTATGGCTAAAAAAAAAAAACTATTTTCAACAGTTTTTCTAGATTAAAAAAGCTCATTATAAATATGTCACAAGATTAAAAATGTTCACTGTATCTAACAAAAAATATGAATAAGGTTTAAGTAAATATTTTTAAACATAACGTATAATATGTTATTTTTGAAATTTTACATACCTAGGAACCTGATCGAGTTTGATCTTGCAGGTACCTTGGTATAAGGAATCCGCTTAAAAGCAGGCATCATTCAACTAAGAGGGTGGTTGTAATTAAAATCGCTCTAGTCTGGCTCTTAAGCATGTTCGTATCTAGTTCAATTACAGTTTTAGGTAAGTTTCTTGTTTCATACATTTTATTCATAAGATATAGTGTTATATGCCTTGCTACGTTATTGCGGAAGTTGGTCTGAACTAGTTTGACTAAGCCACGAATATGCAACGTTCTTAGAAATTGCTCCAGCGGGTAATCCTAGCGTAGAGGTAATCTCAGCTTAGATGCTTTCGAAATTATATTTTGCAAAAAGGAAATAAAATTTCTACGTTGTATAAGTTATTTTGACCAATAGTTGCTGAGACCAGTCGATTTATGGTACACAGACTGCGATTTATGACCATCGATAACAACTCTGTGACAACTATCTAAGTTCTTCTTCTTCCTTCTTTAATAAATGGCTTCTCTTAAAAAAATTCTGCCAATATCATGTCAGTCAAGGGAGTGACGTTTATACTTATAGAACTATCTAAGTTGTACTCCTTTGAAATATCAAATGCCACTCTTCTCACTCACTGGACGAAACGAAAAAGTATACATATTTATTTTTCAATACTGCATGTATAAGGCTGTTGTTCTACATCTTTTCTGCCATTGATATGTTTAAGGAAACCATTTTTATCAAGTCTTCCTTTTAATAATGTCTCATTTCGATATTCCTCATTGACCTGACTTTGCAGGTATAATTAACCGCACCAATATAATGCCGACACCTGACTTGTGCGTCATCAACAACCGCCTTTTCTGGGTGTTTGGTTCGCTGGTGGCTTTCTACATTCCCATGCTGATGATGGTCGTGTCCTTTGCGCTCACTGTTCAGTTGCTCAAGAGGCAAGCGCTACTCGCTGCTACTCCAGTTCCCGGGGGAACGCAAAGGAGGTGGTGTATTTCAAACTCATCAACTGTAAGGTGGCGATTGAGTACAGTGTCTGTTGATATGTATGTATTGATAAGTTCAGTACGTCAACTAAAATCACCTGTTTAAATTCGTTCATTCATCATCATTTCAAGTTTATTCAAATTTTATTATAAATTACATTGATAAATATAGTTCAAAAATTGCCCAAAGTAACCGCAAAACAGGCGTAAAATCCGTGTACGATTTTTATGGCTACACGCTAAAAGCGATAGTGCTTGCGTATTACGAAGCACGGAATCTTTTGGAAAAATTTTTTTTATGCTATACTTCATTACAACAGTTTCACATTAGAAATTGTGGTAACAGGGTAAAAAATAATAAGAGGTATTTTACAAAAGTAATTTTATGTTCATTCGCTTCTCTGTTAACTATTTGTATCGTATTGAACGCTTAGAATCGTTACATATTTTCAACAGAAGCGATCATATATCATGAAAATTAATTAGTTAGCCCGATACTCGTATCTACATGCCGCGATTACAAACAAAAGCAATTCCTATCATTTGCGATTTTGACATCAAATGAGAAAATATAAAATGGGAAGCATACATTAATTATTTCAACGGTCTTCTGTTATGATATTAAATAATACTCTGCATGCATTCTACTATAACGATCAACATACATATTTATTATCCTGATGATATAAAGAATGGGATTTTTGTTTTAGACAATGCGGCGGATTTGACACAGGCCCGGGTTTAGGTCCACGCCGAATAGCCGCCAAGAGTTCTCCAGACTTGTCCCCTCGAAGCAACATGTCGAGGCAAATGACTTGGAGAGTAACGTCAAGCACTAGGTATAATGGATGTATTCAGATAAATAGTGTGTACCTATTTACTTTCTTGCTAAACTTTCAAATGTTTTTCATGCGCATTTCATAAAAAGTATATTGTTGACGCCTCAGCGTCGTTTACGTTGAGATAATTTTGTGATGACATAATTTTGGCGTTTATACTAAAGCTTTTTATTATGACTGTAATCACCTGTGGTTGATATTGTGCTCACTTTGTATGAAAAAATCATTAAAATCTTTTTATTTCACATCTTGAACTGTCCTCTGTTTACAAATTTGATAATCTTATTTTGTTTTATATTTACGTTTTGAAGTTTTTCTTTTAATATGCACAAATAAATATTTTGTTACCAGATCGCAGAGGAACAAAATTGGTATGAGCGTGTCGAATCCCCAGCTGAGCTATATGAACGGCTGCGGCAACGGCAGTGGATCTGGAAGTTCGAGACGGGGCCGCGATGTCGCCACGCAGACACCACCGAGCATTGCGGCAGAAACGAGAAGAGCGCGCCTAAGACCGTTGAAGCTGACCCTCGCGCCTCCCAATGCTCTGAATCTAAGGTAATCGGTGTTGCCAAACGTTCACTCATTGCTTAACATTGTGTGACCCGTCTGTTTGTTTCTCACTCTCGATTAAAAACCGAAAAAAAAATCTGTTATTTCTCCGACCATCAGTGTTTTAATTACGTCCGACGACTAATAGAGAATAATTTGTGGACAATGTGGGCAAGAACTAAAAGGTCTTTAGTTGGGCATTACCATCCCTATTTTTCACATAAACCTACGAATACATGTCGCTTACCATCAGGTAATCAGTAAGAACAGTTGCTGATTAGTAAATGTGATGGACTATCCACTAAGTAGTTAATTTTTTTCTCGTAACTAATTCTCTAACTAGAAAATCTACAAATATCAATATACCATACAATAGTTCTAGGAAACATGTTCCTTGGTCGTAAACCCTTAATATTTCGACCTCAGGTTTCTGACCAATCGTAAGAAGGGGCGTTCTCTGTCGGCGAATGCAGTTGCTAATGAACAGAAAGCCACTAAGGTACTTGGCTTAGTCTTCTTCACATTTGTCCTGTGCTGGGCGCCGTTCTTCCTTCTTAACATTTTGTTCGCGTCGTGCCCTGCCTGCATAGTGCCGGGTAAGTACTTCAATTATTTTACAGGTTTTAATTATTTTTTTGAAATACCAATATGTTTTTATATTTTATTAAACTCATATTGTTAAGTGTGCGTATAATTTGAATGGTATCAGTGGATTTGATGCCAATTTTCCTTATTTACAATTCACATGATGTATGTTTTAAATGATCAAGGCATATCATTTTTGACGTCGTAGCAATATGATCAAGTTATACAATTTTTAAGGTTGTAGGAAGATGATGATCAAGTTATATTTATTGTTGATAGCTCGAATTAAATTGGTTAAAATTAAAAAAATTGTTACAGAGCACATAGTTAACGTTTGTCTATGGTTGGGTTACGTATCTTCGACCATAAATCCAATTATCTACACGGTGTTCAATAGAACATTTAGAGCGGCGTTCTTGAGACTTCTTAAGTGTCATTGTAGCAGGTAATTTTATTATTGTTATTTAAAAAGATAATTTCTTAATTTTGTATCAAACTCCCAATTTTCCTTTATTAATACAATTTGCATATTGCTATCAAAATTTTTAGTGTCTCAATAACTTATTTCATTAGAGCAGAAATCTGTGCCGTGCACTTAGTATTCATCAAGTTTGATTATTTTCTTATGGTAGTTATTATTATAGTTACATATAGATGTGGGGATAGTCTGTGAGGGAGGCCTATGTTCAGCAGTGGCTTCAAACAGGTTGAAATGACGATGATAATATGGTAATGTATCACATCAATTTGACTTTAGCCTTATTTACAGAAGAGGTCACTGCACTCGCTACATGTCTGTTGGATCCACGCGTGGCGCCTCGCAGCTCTGCGCTCGGTCTGCTTTGCCCTTGGCGATTTCACTCCGACCGTCAGTAGTCACCTCCTCATCACCAGCTACCCGAGAAACAACGGAATCTGTTCTGATTGAAGCCCCTCTATCGGGCTATAACATGCGTTACTAAGTTGTTGCGGTTGGATTCTATCAGTATGTGTCATCGTTCTATTGATTACATTGTTAGCATTATGTCAGTGGTGATAGGTTTTAATGCATGTATTTTAGAATAAAGTTAAATAGTCTAATTTGTAGAAGAAAAAGTTACATGAATGTCCTAAGAGTTAGAGATTTTATTTGGTCTGAATTGTGAAAGCCAAAGTGATGTAAATATGTGCCAAATTTAGTTGCTAAAGCCACAGCTGTATTATTATATTGCTCAAGATGTTGTAAATTCAGTTTTTGTTTCATATAGCTTAAAGTGATTTGGTTATAGGTAGTGGATTCAAAATCCGAATTAATTTAAATAATAAATTCATAAATAATCCATTTTGTGCAAACATTTGAAAGTGCCGTATGTACAATGATGATTTGTAAAAAGCAGTCAAGCAGTCGGTAAAATCAGTTACAATACATCTATGTTATATAAAATTCAATTTTTGAATTATTCAATGGATTATTAGAATCCAGAATAACGTAAGACAGGAATAATCAATAATATTTATTTTTTAATTATCAAACTTGGTGTATGAAGAATATTCTTAATTTTTTTTAACCCACATCTATTTTTATAAATCATAACTGTCTGTCTATGATATATGGTAATGCAGCTACTATGATAGCCTTTCAAGTTAGGAATTTTGTCTGAAAAGGATGAGTTCAATATGTAAATTTTAGATTGCTCATTTCGGACTGAATACGACCCTGCAATTACTTAGTGTTGAATAGGCATCATCAGAATTAAACTATTGACTTACCAATGACTCGTAGATGAAAAAAGACTTACAGATATTACTTTTTTAAAACATGCGAAGTAAGTGCAAACTAAAAGTTCTGTACGAAACTTTGCAATTTGAGATTTATTAACCTTGTAACGGTGAGATTGCAAAAGAATCTAAAAGATTATTGTATGAATTGTGTAATAGCATACTATAACTTTTAACTGTTTGTTCCCTTATAAACATGAATGTGTGTTATAGATACTTTAGAGTATTTAGATAAAATCTGTGTCATTGTCGAAAGATTCTGTAAATAGTACTTTTCTATAACTATTTGAAAAAGAAGATAAGAAATGTTCGTGATTAATGTGTACTAAATTATTATATAATTTTAACAATAAATAAAACAATCAGTGCAATTATCATGTGCATTCCTGTATTACCAATTTATTTAGAATAAAGTTTATTTTTAAAATAAAAGCTGTTTACCTTTTACCAGTTCCTTTTATCAAAATTTTCATTCAGACGTCAACATACGTTAATCTTTGTTGGGATTGACTTAGAAAGAGTAATAATAACTTAGAACTTCATACTTTTTCATGATACTTAGAAATAGATTACAGCCGTAATAAAATATTATAATGCTATTTCATTCTTAAATTTTTTAAAAACATAGATCTTTCTTGTAAAAGGTTCATTGAATATCAGTTTAATTAATTTGATATTTTCTCTAATTCTCCATACTAAAAAAGTTGACCATCGCGGGACGCCCGTTAGGTATAAAACGTTTATGTTAATATTTAATAATCTATAATTAGAATTTAAATTAGAATAAAAATTATGATTTACATAAAGTGTCAAAACAAAACTTTTTGAATTTTACAAATCATACAAACTTATTTAGGTATAAAATCAGCAGCAGCCAGGGGTATTGCAAGTGCAGAGCAAGAGTCATTTTCACACATCCTTGTCCTGAATGTATTCTTGGAAATTATAGTAGTCCCTTGCGATTAGGGTAGCTTGTACAAATTGTTTATACTTATTTGTTTGTGGATGTCACCTATTTTATGATAAAAGTTGATGCATCTACCAAGAAATGACTTTCTGGTTTTAGCCAATCTAAACCTCGGTACTTCCAGAGTGTCACCACGGCCCCGACGCGATATGGAATGTTTTTTCGTAAATAGGTGGATATTATTACATACATACATACATGATGTTCCCAAATATGCAAAGTGACGGGAGTGTTAAAACGGTTATTTGCTTAAATAAATGCCGTAGTGACTCACATGGACCCAAGACATAGACAGCCCGTATAGTCAGCTTTTGTAAAACCATAAGACATTATGCTGTGAGAATACGCATAATAAACTAATTTAGCTGTTTCCTCGTTAGTTAGCTCCCTGATCTTGCCTATGGCGAAGATGCCAGCGTTCAATTTCTTAACTAACTTATGTTCGTGAAATCCCCATTACAACTTGGAGTCAATGCTTATACCAAAGAAATGCTGTTGAATCCTCAAGGGGTAGGATTTTCTCAAAAATAGAGATTCCTAATTGGTGACACAACTTTGATAGAGTAAATATAATATATAATATTTTGTTTTAGTGAAGTTCAAAAGTAAGTTATTGGTGCAAACCAGCCTGACACAACATCTAGTATTTCATTTGGTGGTTCTAGTGCAACATCTTTCCTTTTAACTCTAAACAATAGTGAAGTGTCATCCGCAAACAAAACAATTTGAGACCTTTTTTCCACTATATATGGTAAATCATTAATACAAACTAAAAACAGAAAAGAGACCAGGATCGATCCTTGAGGAACGCCCATTTTTACTTTTAACCCCGTTGACAATATACCATATATTATAATAAATAAGGTCGGCAACATAGAGATGGGACGGGTTAGAGTCTCTCGAACCTGATTTATATACTGGCACAACTATACTATATTTCATTAATTTCGGGAATTCGCTACTGTCTAAACATGTATTATACAGCGTGTCGTTACACTGCGACAATAAATAAACACTCATACATAAATGAAATCATACATAAATGAAAAATTCTCTGAATCTATGAATCAGTCAGTTGTAGCTGTATAGGATTATTACAAATTTAGTTTCTTTTTTATTTAATTAATTTGATTGAAAACTATTTATCTTTTAATTATATTTTTTTCGAAATTTGTATTTTTTTATGATTATTGGCAAGTAACGTTAGAAGTGTGTTTATTTTATTTTGCGGTTGTAACAATACGCTGTACATTTGGGCTAATATGCAAGCAATATCATCAATCAGAAGACCTATAGGACTTATCAATTGCCCATATTGATAAGTCCTAATGGTCTTCTGTATTCTTTTTATTCAAATTTTTAAAATATCACTCGGGCCTATTTACACAAAACTTAAAATCTGGAATAAAAATTTTAATATTTATCCAGATATGTTACTGCTCTCTGTGGGACAGTGTAGCAAATGTCTAGAAGTTTCACAAGGTATATTTGTGAAGATATTAAGAAACTCAAAAATTTTCTTTTAATTACGACAGATGATATCCGTGACCGTTACTATTTTCATGCATAAAACTTTTTATACAATTTAAAATAACTGGGTCTTGCCTTATAAAAAATTGTTTGATGAAATAAACTTAGTCGATGATGATACTTAATTCTAATATTTATTGAGATCGTAGTTTCAGCTAACGTCAAAATAAAAACTTTTTTGTCAGGAACTTTATAATCTGGAAACTGGTTTAGACAACATTTTTCAGGATGTATTCTGAAGTATCCTGAATAAGAATAAGACTTATTTTATGAAAATACAAATGTACTTTATACAAATAATAATAATTAAGTTTAGACTTTTCATACTTTTAATGGTTATGTATAAAACTAAATCTCATTATCCTGAGTGAAAATATTCGAAGGATCCTAACGGATTTTTCAAACCCGAGACACCCCAATTTATTCAATTTAATATACGATAACTCGGTTGCTGAAATAATGTGTAAAAATCTTTTAGACGCAATAATTCTTAAGGGATTTCATGTAATATAAAATAAATTTAGGCGAAAGATAGCATTCATATATTGAAATTAATGTAATACTGTTTGATATCGCTTGATTTGTTTTTCGATTATTTTTATTTTTAGGGTACATTTTTGCAAGTCAACTTGCTTGGGCAAATAAAATTCAAAAATTTTGAAAAATAACAAAATGCAAAATTAAAAGACAAATGTTTTTTTTTGCTTATGTTTAAGCCGAGCTGTCACAAAAATTTTCTTTTATTGCGCATATTAATTAGCGCTGCAGCATTATGTATCACCTGAATAATGCAGACGGATTACTACTGTGGTACAAGAAGGAATAAGTCGCCATGGTGTGGTTATAACAGTAAAGCATCTTTATCTCCAGTTCAAGTATTGTGCAGTATTCCGGCAGTTTTAAGAGATTGGCAAGAAAGAAATCAAGGAATTCATCACAAGAATGTGAGCACGAGAACGATATTATGACGACTTAGCGAAGCTAATATAAAGAATTATAGGCCAGCAAATAATCAACCTTCTTACATGCCCAGGTGGTTTAATCATTACAATTTTATGGAATCTATTGTATTACTGAGCAATTGCAAAAACTGTTGCAATTGCTCAGTAATACAATACATTACATACAATTGCTCAGTAGTACAAAAAATTGCAATGCAGCTACGATCTGTCGAGTAAAAAACTTGCATTCAAAAGGACAAGTAGACTTCTAAAATTGTGATGCCTGTCAATAGTTTGGAGATCTGCTTTGTTTGTGGAATATGGAAGGATTGAAAGTGAAAGGAAAACTATTTTTGAGATATTTTACTTATTTATATTGTATGAATAAAATATGTAATACTATAAAGTTCGTGAATTCCATTCCATAATTTCATTGTAAGCTTACCAAAACAAATTCTGCTAAAAGTAAATAAGATTAACTATGTAATAGATTAAATGGGACTGAAACGTCATAAATGACAATAGTCCCAAAATTAAAACAGAATTTATAATAAACCAGCAAATGTCAATATTTTACTGTGGTAGGGCCATGCACAGTGCACTGTTGCACGAATGGACAGGCCCATCCGAGGAAGTACCATGACCTCGCAGAAGACCACCGTGAAGTGGAGGTATTATACTATTTCAAATATGGTACATTAATTAATGAAGTCGCACAGAGCTGGTTCTTTTCTCACTCGAAGGTTAAGCATAACTATTTAGC